CCCCCCATCAAGCTCTTATCAAACCTCTATAGATAGATGTGAATACTGAGGTCAGGTTTCTAGTTAAATGCATCTCATAGCTGTAGGTTGGCAGTTTGTCACTAGTTTCTATTGTGTAAGTGTGTAAACTTCCAGTATCTTCACCCTTTTGTATATTTATATAGATATTACTGTGTAGGTACTGTCACCTGTGAACTTTCCTCTCACTAGTTATGCACAACTAAGGCTAGGTTCAGATCTGACCAATCCCAGGACGCGTGTTCGGCCACGCGCCCCCAATGTTTTCAATGGGGTTAGATCCGCATGGCAATCGCTGAAAAAAGGTACATGTACCTTTCTTTGCGACGCGCCATTTTTTTTTTTTTGCCACAATCGTGTTCAGTTGCATGGGTGAATTCCCCTGCGATCCACCCGGCTTGACTGGGGTGCCATTAGAACATTTCTTTTTTTAAATCCAGCACAATCAGCTGTGGTGGGCGACTCCGTGACCGCTCAGCAATCTGCACGGTTTCGTGCACGATTGCCACGCGGTAACGGATCACGCAGGTGTGAACTTAGCCTTACTCCTGATACTACAGATTTCTCAATAATGCTGCCATAATGTTTTTGTTTTTTTACAGGTTCATCAGAATAACTCTTCACACTGGTGACAGCAGACGATTAGGTAAAGCTTGATTTCCTGATTTCCTGCTAAGCAGACCGTGTCAGTTAATGTTTTGAAAGAATAAGTCCAATATAAAGTAACACTTCCAGTTACATTTTTTTGAAAAGGAAATTATGATCAATCTACACACACTTGTCTGGTTATACTGAGTACTACTCCTCACTAGTTGTGGGGATTCGATGGACCATGTTCTGAATCGCAGAGTGAAATGACTGTTCTGGAACTTGTGTAGCCCCAGACATTGGTAGCTTCCATTGGAGCATGTTTATACATAAGTGGAGTAAACACAAGGGGGCGCCTTTCCTGGTGCAGGTCAATTTTATTTCAGTAAGCATGAGATAAGAACAAAAAACGTACTCACAAACTTAAGAAGAATCATAAGCTGACAGACAGTGTGTATCCACTGGATGATTCCTGTATGCTGGTGATGTTAACGCGCGTTAGATCTACAGCTTTCCCGGCTTTCTTTTGGGGCAGCATCTTGCAGTGCGCCTAGGAGGAATTCTCATTGAGAAGTGACCAGTTTGTCGCGCTTTACTGCTTTTTACTGTGTTTATGTTTATACATAACATTATGCTGGAAAAAAATAGTTTATATCTGCGGCATGCCCATAGAATCAAGTGGGGAGGGCAGGTATTCCAGAGAAAGGAGGGAGCAGAGTCTGTGTCAAACTGACCATTATGGCTACAAACCACTCTGACTTCACCTCCATGTTCCTCTTAAGTCTGTGAAGGTTCTCATTCATCCAGGTCATGGTATATCTGTAAAAAATAGTAAGTCAAGGCAACTGGACTTGCTTATTTTTCTTGAAGAACTTTTGAACCGCTTTCTCAATTCAGAATGACTCTGGGAATAAATATGGTGAATGTCGCTCCAATCCACTTAATCTGTTAGTGGCAACCAGGTGTTGAATGCATTTGCATAATTGGAGTCTAGGATGTGTTATTAACCTGCGAGAGAGAGGTGTTAAAACAGCATTGTATGTGGCAGACTATTCAAGCTTGGCTTCTCCATTGTTACATAAATGGCCTCTTTCACACCTCTTTTAAACCAGTCCTCCTTCCTGTCCAGGATGCGTACTTGACTGTCTTCAAAGGAGTGACCTTTTTCCAATCTGCCACTGAGAAAAACCATCATATCAATAGGCAGAACAGCAGCAAGTTTCAACACTACCTGAATGTGTGGCAGCTTTGCCTGTCAGAACAGCTGGCATTTGGCCATAAGTGGAGTATGTTTAGGCACCTCTAGATTCCTATAAGTCTCTTCAATCACTGCTTTCTCCTATAAGGTTGTAGGAAAATGGATAGAAATCTAGATTTTTTTTTTTTTTCATCTCACCGTTTTAATTTGTGCCTAGTACATATTTCCTATTTGCCTGATTACTGATTTAATAAAACTGTATTACTTTCCTTTTTCAGAGTTGGATGTTCTCTGCTCAAACAGGACCTAAGAGGAAAAAAAACTCCTTGCAGTTGTGAAAGGAAACGAAATATCCAAGCATATTGCTTGCCAAATATTGCCAAACTGTGACTGTCTAGAGTGAATGTATTTGCACTTGTTTGTACCGGTGGATTCTTTCACAGCTGTCAGTGAGAAATGATCTCTGTAGCTTATTTGAACTTACTGTGGAGAAGACGTGATCTGTGGATCTTTTAGTCATCACGGAATCTATCAGCCAGTATTTTGTTATGAGCCACAGCCATTTTGTACCACAGTTCTAGCACCAGATCTGTAACTGCCCAGCGTCTAGTTACATGAATTGACGGAGATAACACTCCACTAACTTACATCTTATTTGTTTTTAAAGGCCACTAAACTGATGAAATGAATGAGCAAAGGCAATAAATTTCCGTTTTTATTTTTAGTTTTATATTAACAAAAGGATACCGGTGCAGTGCATTGTAACAACTCTGTTGCATTTGTTCTAAATGCTTCAGAGCAAAAAAAAAAATACTGAATAGCTCATTCACAGTATAAGCGTACTGGTGACTTTTAAATGTATTCTACAAATCTCTATTTAAATTTTAATATATGATTCGTTCATCGCATTCAGAGTTTTCATTCTTATTTCATTATATTAAACTGTTTTAATGAAGTTCCAACCTTTGTGTGTCATTTATTGTGCATAGATGTCTAATTAGTCTGTAAAAGTTAGCAGAAAAAAATCACTGGCTGAAAAGCCAGTTTGCGCATACTGGGACTACCTATGAAAACTGGATTAAAGAACAACAGATTAAAAGTGGGACTGGATCCCATAGCACCCAGTCAGGTTTAATGCTTACTGTAACTCCCATATGTTCATGTTTTCATATATCAGCACAATTGTTCAGCAGGCAAATAATTTTCTGTAGCTGCTGAAATGGATCTGAACCACAACTGGGTTCACACAAGATGTCTGCTGCTGTTTCTAATTATGTTGTGTTCGGTGCACCGGAGAAATCACAAACTCAGAATTAACGGTCCATGAAAGTTCTAATTTATTCAGGGCGGTCTCTCTCCTTTATACACAGATAACAGGTGAGTGTTCGTCACACATATGCCCACATCTGTTATCTCTAAATGTCTTGTACTATTGGGCAAACTAGAGGAGCTGTTAGTTAAAGTCTTGTGTCTCTCGCTAATTGGTTAGTCAAAGATATCTTCTGCCTGTAGCATCCTCCCTCGGCATTCCTTTCATGCATCCTCGGCGCGCTCCCGAATACAGGTTATATCTCTTGGTTACGCATAGCAACGCTAGAAGCTGAGTAAGGAAAGTCACAAAGCTAGGAAGCAAATGAAACAAATTCAAAACATAGAAAAGGACATTTTCTTGATATGATCCATATTCCTTCACAGTTGCTCGGTGTGATGAGGTTCAGAAAAAATAATAGAATAGAATCAAACTAACCTGCTAACTTTCTACGAGGAGGTAAGTATGGATATGGATGGATGGAGGGAGGTCTGTGGATGTGGTATATCTGGATTTCTCAAAGGCTTTTGATACGGTACCTCATAAACGCTTGCTACACGAGCTAAGATCCATGGGCATAGATTGAAGGGTGTGTACATGGATAGAGAACTGGCTAAAGGAACGGGTACAGAGAGTATCAATAAATGGCACCCTTTCAGACTGGACTAGTGTCTTTAGCGGTGTGCCTCAGGGTTCTGTGCTGGATACCATATTGTTCAACCTGTTTTATTAATTAAGCTAGTAGAATCCTGTCCTGCATCAAGAAGGGAATTTTTTGCAGGGACAAGTCTATAATTTTGCCACTGTACACTTCATTTGTTCGGCCTCACCTGAAGTATGCAGTCCAGTTTTGGGCACCAGTACACAGAAAGGATGTCCTGAAGCTGGAAAGAGTCCAGCGGAGGGCAACCAAACTCATTAAGGGAATGGAGGACGAGAACTATGAGCCAAGGCTACTAAATTGAAATATGTTCAGGTTGGAAGTAAGGAGATTAAGGGGGGGACATAATTTATATGTACAAGATGTTCAATGGTGACAGCAACATTGGCAGCAAACTCTTTACGCTTAACTCCATAACAAAGACGAGAGGCCACCAACTAAAATTGGTGGGAAAAAAATTCCAACACAAGGGGCGAAAGGGGTTCTTCTCAGTTCGCGCGGTTAGGATCTGGAACTCACTGCCACAAGCAATTATTTCAGCAAAGAGTGTGGAATCATTCAACAAGCTTTTGGACGATTTCCTGAGTTACCATAATGTGCAGGGTTACTGGTACTCTTAAGAATAAGACAACACAGGGACCTATACATACTCTCACACACAATAGGTTGGACTTGATGGACTTATGTCTTTATTCAACCTCAAATACTATGTAACTATGTAATTGATAATATCAGTTAGTCATTTGAAAGTGCATGAAATAAAATTTTTGGTAGACTTTTTTTCAAAATATCCTAAACAGTGCCTACAGATAAAGGTGATTATAATTGAACAATTCACATATAAAATTGACATGGCATATTCATTCTCATCATTTTAAATGAAAAGGCATATATGACTTGGGGAAAATGTTGGTAAACCCCTTCAAAAGTTATAAAGTATATGTAAAATAATAGTGCAGCTCTAAATCTCAATAAATATAACAACCAGTACCCAAAATTACAAAGTATCAAATTGCTTGTGCAATTGTCTTACCAAGTAACACCTTAAAATATAAATACAGTGTCAAACAAATGTTCATGAAGTCCATGTTAACTCTTGAGTGTGATTCCCACTATTTGTGTGTGAACACGAAAAAACAAAGATGTAGCTGTATATCCACTCCAAATCATGTAATTCGATTGGATACAAAGCCACATCTTTGTTTTGTAGTGTTCACAAACAAATAGTGGGAATCACAGAAACAAGAGAAGGTGGAAGATGGAGGAATAGTTTAACACGATTTTGGAAAGATAAGCCAGAGTTGGGAGGAATCTACCCCAATTTATTGTCGGATTAAAAACAAAGGAGAGGATTTGGTTCTATATATATCAGCAAAGCGCTAATTGTTCATCTGAAATATGGTGAGCAATAGACATGTGCACTGCCAAAAAATTTGTTTCGTTTCGTTTTAAATTCGGATTTGTGTTATTTCGTTTTTCAGGATTCGGGTGTGAAAGTCAATTCGGATTCGGAATTCGGACGAAATTCGGTAGCGTTAGTACGAACGTTCGTTTCGTTTTCTGTTCTTATTCGTTTCGTTTGCAGCAAAAGTGACATTTGAGGGGGAAAAAATATTTTTCTCCTTCTCTAATGTCACTTTGCTCGAACGAAACGAATAAGAACAGAAAACGAAACGAACGCTCGTACTAACGCTACCGAATTTCGGAAATGGAAATTCGGATTCGTTTGCATTCATTATGTCTGTAATTCGGAATTCAGATACGTCCGAATTTCCGAAAATTCGTCCGAATTTCCGAAAATTCGTCCGAATTTCGATTCGGAACGAAACGAATCGCACATGTCTAGTGAGCAATAGGAGTCGGTGAGTGCGGCCAGATCTTATCTTTGAGCATGGTGGAGACTGGAGAGCACTGATTCACTAATTGTTTATGCATTCATGGACGTGGTGTTGATTTATAAAAGTTGGAAGATATATCCTCACATATTTCAAGGACTTTATTGTATCAAGAAGTAATGGACTTCACATATGGTTATGTAGGTTAATGAGGGAGTTGTACATCACTTGTGAGATTTAACACAGGATTTTCTATATGTACACATTTTATGAGATGTACTAGCACATTTTTTTTCTGTGTTTATTATGGTTTATAGTGTCTAGACCTAGAGCTTTTTCTTACTATCTTCAGCACAGGTGTTGTGTATGTGTCAGGATCCAGAGCACCCCCACGTGGGGCTGGAGCCAGGTCCTGTAGTTCCTGTGCTCGCCTGCGGGTGTCTCCAGCAGCCAGGAACTGTCAGGAACCTGCAGCTCCAGTACTCACCTGCGGGTGTGCCCCAGCTGTGACTGATCATCCCATCACCTGGTGCTTCCTGGGAGGGTATTTAAGCCCTCCCTGCAGTCAGGAAGCTGGCTCAGTATTGCGTCGCCTGCACCTGACTGACTCCCCTGGCCTGTGCCTTGGAACCTGAACCTTGCTACCTGAACCCTGCTTCCTATCTGCAACCCTGTCACCGACCCGGCTTGTTACCCGACCACTCTCCTTGAATCCTGTTCCTGTACCGCGCTGCCCTCCTGTCACCGACCCGGCTTGTTACCCGACCACTCTCCTTGAATCCTGTTCCTGTACCGCGCTGCCCTCCTGTTAACGACCCGGCTTGTACCTGACCACTCTCCTTGTATCCTGAGGCCTGCCGTATATCTGCAGGCCTGTTACCCCTCCTTGTTGCTATTCCCCCTGACTGTAGGTGTGTGTTTGTCCCAACGGTGGGTTTGTTACTTCACTGCTAAACCTGTGGGGGGTTGAGGGGGTTTGTAGTTTTGTTGATGTGTAACAAATAAACTGTGCGCATAGAACCCTATCCTGAGTGGGCATATTAATTTGGTCATCCTGCTTGGGTACCTACATGTGGCGTGAGGACGCCTGTGCATGGTACCCTGACAGTATGACACAAAATTGTTTATCACTTTGTGACTATTTCACATTCCATACTATTTTTTTCACATTTTAGGAATATAATTTATGAGTTTGAAGCGCAGTGCTATTTTCTTTTTTCCTTCAACCTCATAAGAAAGGATAGACATATGAATGTCCCTGATGGGCTCAAAGGGTGGCTCCTGAAGGGCTGACAGAATCGGCTTGAGATCTTATTGGGGAGTGTACAGGGGAAGCATACCCAGCAACACCCTGCACAAAACTTTTCTCTAGGAAATGGGAGGCAATTGATCTTTGGAGAAGAGTAGCTAGGCTCGAGATTTGACCCTTGATGGTACTCCAATCTAAATGCTAATGCAGACCAGTGGAGGAAAGTCAGTATTTGTCCCACAGAGTATTTCCTGGAATGGAATTTCCTAGCCTTGCACCATGCAAAGAAAGACTTCCATGTGTGATGGTAGACAATGTAAGAAGTCCACTTCCTAGCTTTTAAAAGTGTAGGGATAATGTAACTTGACAGGCCCCTGTCTCTCAGGACTTGGGTTTCAACATCTAAGCTACTAAAAATCGGACTGGTCCTGGGGACAGAAGACCTGGAAGAGCCCACAGAATATGTGTGAGTAACACATCCTCCTGGGCCAGTACGGTGAGGATCTCTGGGATATCTTCCATCTTGATCCTGCAGAGAAGATAAGGAAGGAGCTTTAGAGTGGGGAGAGGTCTTGATTAACAGAGCATACACTGCGAAGACCTGGGGATTTCTGGTCCTGGTTACAAAACTGTCCAGTTTGAATGTAGACTTTCCAGGTTCAACAACAGAGTCCCCAACCTGCGACGCAGCTTGAAACACCTCCAGGTAAAAAGACCATTCACTGGGGTGCAGACCTTTCTTGTGCCTGGGATTAGCATGACAGTCAGGGCCTGAACATGAAGTTCTGCCCAAGCCAAATCAAGTCTGCTTCTATTTGAGCTGAAGATTTCTGATGCCTCCCTGATGGTTTATGTAGGCTACAGTTGTGACATTGTAGGACTGAATACTGGTCAGGTGACCT